GCCGGAAAGGTGATGGCCACAGTTTTTTATACGCGATATAATTCATATTGATTACCTTCCGACGAAGCAAACGATCAATGGCGATTATTACGCAGCCTTATTGGACCGTTTCAACAACATTTTAAAGAAAAAAATGTCCCCATTTAGCGAAGGAGAAAGTGCTCTTCCATTAAGACAATGCACGGGTTCACACCTGCCCGGTACCGATGGCCAAATTCAATGAATTCCGCTACGAATTGCTTCCTTATTCAGCATATTCGCCAGATTTAGCCCTCTGCAACTATTTCCTGTTTTCAAACCTAAAAAAATGGTTCGGATGAAAGAGATTCATCACCAGAGAACAGCTCGTCGCCGAAATAGAGGCTTATTTTGAAGGGTTGGACAAATCATATTATTCGGACGGCTTGAAAAAATTGGAAAATCATTGGATCAAGTGTACCGAGCTGAAAGGAGACTATGTTAAGAAATAAAAATCGATAAAAAAATGTATTTTGCTATGGTTTTCTAAAAACTTATTGACTTGCCCTAGTATATATTGTATATATACGTAGATGTATGCCACAATAGTGTAATGATACTGTTACTAAATGTGCTCGTTGGTGAGCCGTGGACTTGCCCAAATACCTTATGAGAATGTTCTCCTCGATTGTGTGGACTGTATTAATGAATTGCTTTGCAAAAAAACTGAGATCCTTTATTACAAAACGAGCTTACAATAAGCGTTGCTGAATCTTACACACGCTGCACTCGCTCTCGCCACACACACACACACACACACACACACACGCGCGCGCGCGCGCGCGCACGCACGCACGCACGCACACACACACACACACACACACACACACTCAGCTCAATGCTATCAACTTCTTTTAACGCAATTACCGACACCTCAGCGCCACGGCAGTACCAACGAACTAAAACTATTATCGCCTGAGCGGCTACCTGCGCCAAGTGGACCCATCAATCCTATGCCTACCATATTATCACGTAATATGCTGCGCGCCTTGATAACTCATAGTTATCAACGTTCGTTCGCCTCAACACACAAATTAAAACTAACGCTTAGATATATATAAACTTACAAACTAACATGCTTACATTTAAGAATTCTTATTGTTACTCATACAGTCTTCTATTGGCAACACACACAGCTTAATCGCGGGACGCTTATATTCGCCATTGTTAGTCTCAATGATAGCCGTTCGGACCACCTTATCCGATCCTGGGAAAACTGATTGCACTCGGCCAACAACTCATTTTAATGGTGGTAAGCTATTCTCACGACACAGGACTAATTGGTCGACCGTTACTCGAGGACCGGAATTGCGCAACCATTTGCACCCATTGCGCAATCGTTGCAAGCTAGATAAGTACTCTACCGACCATCGCCTCCAAAAATGCTGGAGCATTTTAATCTCTATCATTTTCCATCTAGATAATCGATTAACCTTTGTCTCCATTATGTCCACCTCGGGGTAAGAGGTTAAGATGCTACCTATAAGGAAGTGATCTGGGGACAAACAACTAAGATCATTAGGATTCGAAGTTAACGCAGTTAGTGGCCACGAATTCAGAATAGCTTCTATTTGCACTATCAATACAGCAGCCTTCTCAAAGGTCATTGCCGCTTCTGAAGCTACTTTGTAAAACTGATTCTTAAAACCTTTCACCGTTGCTTCTCATAAGCCATCGAAATGAATCGGGCAGGAATGAAGTGCCATTTAATTTCTTCAGCTGCTCTATGATCTACAATCTGAGCCCTTGATTGCTCCCAATTAAAAATATCTTTAACCTTTTCCAGCTCGAGCTTTGCTCTAACAAAATTTGTGCCATTGTCAGAATACATGCTACATGGCCTTCCTCTACGCTTATAAAACGCTTGAAAGCGCTGAGAAAGGCACCTGTGGACATATCTGAAACTAAAATGTACAGCTTTAATTGTCATGCATATAAATATTGCGACATATCCTTTAATTTGTTTGGCTGCTTTATCCTTATGATCACGTAGATAGGATCGCAAAAGTCTACGCCCGTATTTGCAAATGGCTTCGAGGGATTTACTCTAACACTTGATAATTCTCCTATTATTTGTTCAGATAGCGGTCTTGCTTTAAAACATTTAACGTATTCGCGAATCAACTTTCTGGTAATGCCGCACGCCCTGAGCAGCCAATATAGCTGACGAACCGCCGATAAAGTAGCATCAGCATTCGCGTGACAATTTCTGACGTGTTCGTTTAATATAATTAGATTAGTGAGCTTGGAATGATGCGGCAGAACTACTATATCTACGGGTGCTTAGCTTTGTACGGCAATCCCGAATGTGCTCCAACCTACCTCCGACCCGCAGTAAACCATCGCTATCTAACAACAGATTGAGATGTCTTAAACTACTAGCGCTAGGTATTGCTTTGTTCGCATGCAACGTGCATATCTCAGAGCTAAAGGCGGCTTTTTGCTCTGAACTACACATTTCGTGGCATGCTCCAGCTCGTCTACCGTCAGCAATTGAGCAGAGTTTATCCTTTTTTCTGCAGAGCTGCATAAATCTGACACAAGTGACTACGACTCGGATGAGTCTCCGCAGTGTGGAAAATTTCTCCACCAACTCATATCCTGGCTGATTAATCACTGTCACTATCACTTGTTCGCATAACTGGTCCACTTGAGTCTCCTTGTCGACTTCTACCTCCATTCGATAGTCGATTTGTATTTGCTTCTCCATCCATGCAGGACCATTCCACCATAATCGTGAGTCACGCAGTTCTCTTAGGGCAGAACCCCGAGATGCTAAGTCAGCCGGATTCTCTCTTGTGCCCACGTTTCCAACCCGACTGCAGTCAGTTCTTGGATCTTGCTTACTCCATGAGCGATGAATACCAGTAGCTTCTTGTTAACTGCCTTGATCCAGTGCAAAATGATGGAAGCACCTGTCCAATAATATATTCTATTTTGATGTTCTACGATACTTTGATCTTGGTTACTAGTTGAGCCTACAATTGTGCTCCGCATAACTCCTGGGAATCGATGTCGTCTTAATTGAAGCTTAGTTTTAGCGCATAATAAATGAACTTGAGCTCCGTTGTGATGACTGACGCTCCGTACATATACACATGCACCGTAAGCCTTTTCACTGGCATCGCAGATGCCCTAAAGTTGAGTCTCGTTACCTGAAGGATCCTTAGTAACACATTGCGGCACGCAGAATCCGCCTGCGTACTGTAAGTCCTGCACAAAGCTTAGCCATTTGGTAAGTATGTCTGTTGGTAAAGTTTCATCTCAACTTAACTGAAGCTTCCACAGCTCCTGCATCAATATTTTGGCTTACAATACTACCGGTGCCAATAACTCGAGCGGGTCGAAAATTTTTTTCTATACTAGACAACATCGAACTCTTTGTGGCAGATGCCGATGCTGATATCTCAATAGAGTATTGAAATATATTCTTTATTTAGTTTCATCTGACACCCAACGTTTTGGCAGCGCTATCCTTATCCAATTCTAGAACAGCGTTATCGGTTGCTTGCCTCGGAATATCCTTTAGCAGATCTGGATGATTCGCTGTCCACTTTCTCAGAATAAATCCTCCCCTTTGAAGCAATGTTACAACTTCATCGCGGATCGTTAAAATCTCTTCTATAGAATTTCCATCTGTTAATAGATCATCCATGTATAAATCTCTTTTTGCTATCATTGACCCTTTGAGAAATAGAGCCTGCTCCAACTCAGCCAATTGATGAATCATTTTGGTAGTCAAAAAGGACGCTGGCACTGTTCCATAAGTCAAGGTTAATAGCTCGTATGTCTTGACCTTTTCTGAAGGATTGTCCCTCCAAACAATGAGCTGAAATGCTACCTGATTGTTTTCCAATAGATTTTGACGATACATCTTGGCTATGTCCGCCGTTACCACATATAATACTTGAAGCTTCGATATCCCAATAGTATGGGTATTAAATCTTGCTGCAGCACTGGACCCACCATCAGAACATCATTCAGCGATACGCCCTCTATAGTCTTGCTCGACGCGTCAAACACCATCCTTAATTTGGTAATCGCGCTCGACTCTTTTATGACGCAGTGATGCGGCAAATAGTATTATGAATGGACGCTCCATGAAGTACTATCCTCTGGTATTTCTCTCATATAGCTCAAATTCAAATATTTAATATTAGTGAATGAATTTTACGTTTTCTTGTTTCAATGGCAGCTGCCTTTCGAACTTCCTCTCTAAACCTTTCAGCCTCTGAATGGCTAAGTCACGGGAGTCGCCTAGCCTTAGAGGGAGCTGCACTCCCTTTACTGGCAAGGATATAATGAATCTACCTTAATCGTCATGTCTATACATCTACATAAAATGCCTTTCACAAATGCGCTCTTCAGAGGTGCGCGTAGTCTGTCGTTTCTTCTCCTCGATCTGCCAAAATCGTACGAGATTCGCATTTAACTGGTCGTTAATGGCCAAGTTACAAATTGTATCCTTTTGCCTGCCTTGTGCGGATAACAAATTGCTTGATACTATCCATCCGAGCAGAGTCTTCTGCTACGTCGGTTGTGTCGTTGACAGCTTGATTCTTCCGATACACATGAGCTCAAAGAATATTTTTGCTCCTAAGAGCAAATCCACTTAAGGACTTGCAAAAGTCGAGATTCGCCAGTACAATGCCGTTTGGTACTTGCACTTCATCTGTCTTGATGCAGCTCCTTGGTATAGCCTGTGGTTATACCATCGGTATAATCCGATCTATAATCAAATAGTCCAAGTTGGTTTTGAAATTGTTGATCCTTGACTGCAGCGTTATTCGGATTCCCCTGCTCGTTTGTGTAGACATCTCTCCTAGACCACAAATTGATATGCTAACCGAAGATTGTTTAAGAGCTAACCTTTTCGCACAATTGCTTGTTATAAAACAAAATTGCGAGCAACTGTCTAGTAATGCTCTGCACAATACAGTATTGCCCTCCGTCATCTTGATCATGGCTGTCGCGAGTAACACTTACTTACTTTGTTTGACTGAGTTCGAACTACTCACAGTCGTGGCTACCACCTTTTCCTGATCAGTGATTGAGCCTTCTTGCGCGGCCTCTTGTCTTTTCGTCGATGGCTGCTTTGAATGGAGCAATGTGTTGTCTGTTGGAACATTTACGGCACGGTCCCATCGTGCATTGTCTGGCTTGATGTACTTCGTAGATAATTCAAGTAAATTACGTGCTTTGGCCTCTTTAATCTTTCTATCAACTTCCAGACGCAGATACTCGTCGCATCTGTATATAGCGTGATCTTCTTTGTTGCAGTACACACATTTGTGACGAGCTATTGTCAGATTAAGTACTAAAGTACTCTTGGAATGACTTCCCTTTTCGTGACCCGCACTTGCGGCTCCTACATGAGTAGCGCGAGCCGATGCCTCCAAAGCCTTATTGTGTTGAGCAAGAAATTCTATCAAATGCTTCAGCGTGGGAATTTCATTTTTCTTAATAGTTACCTCCCAGTCTCTTCTTGTTTTGTGATCTAAACGACTTGTAATCATATGCACTATTAAGTCGTCCCAATGCTTTATAGGTCTTTCGAGCGCCCTTAGATGTTTCAGGACATCATCCAACAGGCGCCTTATCACTAAGTGATTTTCCTTTTGAACTACCGGCATCTCGAACAAAGCTCTGAAGTGCTTCTGAATAATTGAACTTGAATCGTTGAATCTTTCCTTTAGCATCTCCCATGCCTTCATATAATTTTCTCCAGTCACCTCAGGAGGACCGATGACATTGCGTGCCTCGTCCTTTAAAATTGATATTAGATATTGCATTTTTTGTACGTCGGGGAGTGTCTCGTTATTGTGGATCATGCTCTGAAACATGTTCTTAAAAGGAATCCATTTTTCGAATGCTCCAGAGAATGTCGGTAAACTAATAACTCGCGGCAATTTTAAGTGATTATTTTGTCTGACATGTGTGTGAACTGCTGGGGGCTCTTCAAATAATACGCTAGATACCCGATTCCTGCCAGGATTCTGATCTGCTAGTTTGTTTTCGATTAGCGCCTCGAGCTCAGAAGTGATCAAAAAGTATTTTTCCTCGAAGTTCTCTCTTCCTCGTTATTTGCGACATCCTCTATCTCCTCGATAGCGCTTCGTATTGATCTAAAGTTCCCCCAGGTTTCGTAAAATCTCTGCAACCACTGACGCAGCTCGACTACCGGCGTACTTTGTACGTCTAATCCATCTAAATACGAATCGAATCTCGTGCATCGTGCTTTTATTTTTATATGCGCGCTTTTGTTTTAATGATTTTATATGTGTGACTCCCGCGTTCGCGACGTTTGTCCCATTTCCTTTGTCCGTCATTATGATCTATTCTGTATCATTGCGCCCACGCCTTAAGAAGTTATGATTATATATATGACTATGCGTAATTTTCCTCAGTGATTACAAATTCGCAATAGAGTTACGAACAATGCTCTGTTTCTTTTCTGAAAACGATACAAAAATGGCGTATATTCTGACCACGCGCTTCATTTACAGAATACACCAGCGCTTTCTTAAAGAGATGTTATTACGCGGAGTTTACGGGCTCTTGACTAAATTATTCGATGAGATGCTCAATAATACCAATAAGATAATACCTTGAATTGTTGACTTTCTTATTTAGTCTCTCCAGACCTCAATTTCTTGCCAAAACTTCTTTCTTGATCCGGCTCGAAGGACCAATGTTACTGAATGTGCTCGTTGGTGAGCCGAGGACTTACCCAAATGCCTTATGAGAATGTTCTCCTCGATTGTGTGGACTGTATTAATGAATTGCTTTGCAAAGAAACTGAGATCCTTTATTACAAAACGAGCTTACAATAAGCGTTGCTGAATCTTACACACGCTGCACTCGCTCTCGCCACACACACACACACACACGCGCGCGCGCGCGCACACACACAGCCAATGCTATCAACTTCTTTTAACGTAACTACCGACACCTCAGCGCCACGGCTGCACCAACGAACTAAAACTATTACCGTCTGAGCGGCTACTTGCGCCAAGTGGGCCCATCAATCATATGCCTATCATGTTATCACATAACAGATACATTTAAAGTACAGTATGCATCTCACTCGCATCGCGTAGATTTTGATAGGTCAAGGTCTGGATATGTATTCCAACCGGCAGCAACGCCTTAGAACCACAGCTCTGAGCGTAGTGACAACGCTTGAGGCACTCTGAGTTCTTCTAGAGTAGCGCCTAGAGAATAACATCCTTAGCCACGGAGGATCAACATAACAATATCTGAGGTCATCGCGTTGAGATGAGTTTACTTTCGTAAACATATTTTATATTTGTAATCGCATCTAAGCAAATAAGATCATGTCTAATCAAAATGAACAGGATCGCATACTTCAAGGGACTGACCATTGGGAACGGACTCGTAGACTATTTTCCGCAAGCCCGATCCTCTCCTCTGGCTATCAAAAATGTTCGAACTTGATTCGATCGGTGATCAAAAGAATAGAAATTGCCAGTTCTTTTTTGGCGCGGATAAAAAGATAAAAGAAAACTTTGATGAAACTGTGGAGCTAAGATCAAAGGCATCGAGTATTCTCTTTCTTCTTACCGCTAACTTGTTTTACGTAGGGATGTGTGTGTGCTTGTGCAAAAGCTGTCTTCTTTTTTGTATCGTGTACGACTTTTTGGATTCAAACGCATAACTATATTTTTTGTCTCAACATGTTCTTCCATCTTTGTTTATAATCTGTAAGTTATCTTGTAATTCTGTAAAGTGTAAACTATTAAATTTTTGATGCATTAAGATTTCCTTTCTATGATTGTCTTTTCTATTTAATTGTTTTAAACTTCTTTCTTTTTTGTAACTTTATTTTTAACTTCTATATGACCCATGACCATAATTAAATTTTGACATCGTATACATCCGCATTGCGTCCGTAAACTTGGTGATACATATAAATATTTTATAATTTGATGTTACCCGTTTTCACCACGGACCGAAGAATTGGTTATAATAGGAATTTTATCAAGTATATCACACACACGATTAGCTCTTGACATCGTAAAGAGGCATTATATGATATCTGTGTTTTATTTATATGTGAGATGAGATTCGTATTAAACTAAATGTAAAATTTTTGGAGTTGTTGAGAAGAGCTCAAGTCCAAAACGCGTGTTTTATAAATATATATATATAGTAAAAATGCCCTTCTTTGTCAAAAAGCCACCTCCCCTGTCTAAAATTCAAAGAGACCTACAGGATTTGTTTTGGGCTTAAATTGTTGCTCGAGATATCTGCTTTTAAAAAAAACGTGGCCTCTTCGGAAAATCAAAATGGCCTACTCAAGATGGCTGCCAGACTGAACAAAGTCGAGCGGAAAAAAATGATATTAAACCTTCAGAAGAACTACATATATGACCTGGAAAATTAATAGCAGTAAATTTTTCCATGTATTTTTTTTGATTGCTGAAAACAAATCTGAATATAAAATTTGGCACTTGGTTATATTTTGGTCGCCATTTTGAAAAAAATTGCAAAAAATTTGCTTTTTTGCGTATATCTCGGAAAATATTGTTTTTAGAAAAAAAATTGTCCAACAAAAATTAAAGCTCTTGAAATTCTCTACAAAAAATATCCTATCATGCATTTTCGTAATTTTAACCGTTTACGCGTAATATGATTTTGAATTACGAGACCTTTTCAATTAGGCTATATAAGTTGTACAGGGTGTAATTTGCTGCCATTAATTTTCCAGGTTATATAGTTCTTTTAAAGGTTTGCCATCTTTTTTTCCGTCCGATTTCGTTTATTCTGCCATTGAGTATGCCATTTTGATTTTGCAAAAAGCAACGTTTTTTTTTTAAATAAACATTTCAAGCAACAATTTAAGCCTAAACCGAATCCTATAGGCTCCTCTGAATTTTGAACAGGGACGGGTGGCCCTTTTGACAAAGAATGCAGGGTATCTTATAACTACCGAATTTCTTCTTGAGGACATATACTTGAGGTAATTTTGAGACGAAAATTTTATTACAAAAATGTCGAGGCTGCAATAATTTTTTAAATAATAAGCTAACTTTAAATGCTTATGCTTATAAGTAAAAAACCATTTTACTTTTAAAGCTTCTATTATTATTTCTGGATTCTTTTGAACATTCTGAGGCAAAAATCCTAATATGAAAATATCGAGGATATAATAGTTTCAAATTACACAGTATTTTTAACCAATTATAATTCAAAAACTATTGTAGCTTCGACATTAACATTTTTTGTTAAGATTTTCGTCTCAAAATTACCTCAAGAATATTCTCTTAAGAGAAAATTCGATAATTGTGAGACACTCTGTGTACATATATATATATATATAGTGGAATAATAGAATAAATTAATCAATCATCATGTATGCTCGTTTTAAATTTATTGATCTTGTATTTGTTATATCTAAAAAGGTTTACAAATCTGGGAGATTAAAACTGATTACAAATAAGAGATTGAATTTTTTAAATATTATTTCTTAAATTCAAATATATGTCATAATTATACAATATAGCTACATCCGAAAAATGTAAAAAATTCTTTCACAGCTTAAATGTATAAACATTTAATGGCTGAATTATATAAATTGTTCCGGCAGGAATCAAATATTTACCTTTTCTTCACGTTTGTCAGTGGTGTTATATTTTTTTCCGTTTGCCCTGTTCATGAGCTTAAACACTAGACAGATTTTTCATTAAAGTAAACGTCCCAATGATCGGACATGTACCTATGTCTGGACACTTACACATAACTTATTATTCTTAACCTCAAATGCTCTTTTTATTACAATATTATAATTTAGATATATTTAGAAATTACAATTAAATCATAAAATTATATTTAAAAAAGCATTTAAGATTAATAATAATAAATTTTGTGTAAGTGTCCGGATAGATACATGTCCGATCACTCCCTGATAAAAATAAAAATCAGGAGCGTAAGTCGAATATAATGGGAGAATAACAGAAACGTAAACGAAACTTCTAGGAGGCGAAAATTGAAACATCAAAATGTAGTAAAAGAAGCGTAAATACTTCTTTTACATTTTATTGTTCCAATTTTCACTTTCTACAAGTTTTGTTTACGCTTCTGTTACTCTCCAATTACATCCGATTTACACTTTAATTTTTATTTTCATCAGGGCTGGGCGTTTTCCTTAGTGTTAGATAAGTAAATCTGTTCATACCATATAATTGTGAGCTCCGATGTCAACTTACCAGAAATAGAAGCTAAAATAAGGACATTATCCGCTTTGTTACGTCCAAACTCCGCGCGCATGCGGAGTTGAGGGGGTGAACGTAACGAGGAACCGAATTGTTAGACCGATTTGGTCGTGTCCGGGCTCCGGACCGCAAGGGAGCCGTGGGGAAGGACCGACGCAAATCGGGAGGCGCTTCGCTTCGTCCTGAGGCTCCTAACGAGCCGGGGGTCGAACGGAGGACGAAGCGGAATCCTCTGCTCGTGCTCCGCTAAACGGACACACGAGTCGGACGTACTTTGAGAAAGGGCCCAAACTGGGTCAGTGTGCCGAGAGGGGCGCACTTTAACGCCAGCTGTGCCAGTACGGCCGTATGCCTTGGCTTTCGGTCATGGAACTTAATCCGAGTGACCGGGGAGAAGGCTAAGTGCAATCTCGGGCGAGCTTAAGAATACGAGGAGGGGTTTAGTTTAAATAAATTACCGGGAAGTAAATTTTACAATGATATAATAAAAAAAACTGTAGTGATACATTTTGAATAAAATATAAATATAATTTTGTCAGGTTAAAACAATTTTTGGTTTTAAATGTACACGTTTATCGATGTGTGAGAGTGTGTGTGAAGTATCATAG